CTTCATCTCGCAAGAAAGATAGACAAGAGAAGTTTTAAATAAATTTAAGATGAATAATACTAGACCTATAGATACTGCAGTAGAATATTCAATAAAGTTATCAAAATATGATGAAAGAGAAAAGTATTATCCAATACTTTTCAAAAGTTAAGTTTAGCATTTGTGCTGCTTTACTTTCAAAAGGTTTGTTATTTTTTATATAGTTGAATCGTGACATGAAGAGTCTAATTATAACTCTAATTATAACTCGTTAAAAATTAAAAATTATTAAAAGAATCTTAAGTTGTATCAACGATACAATTGAGTTGGCTCACATTATTTATTCATCATCTAACATTTTCAACCTCGTATGATACAGCAATAGTGATTGGGCGAAATAAATTTTAAAAAGAATATCATAAAATTTGTGTTCTTCATAAGGAACACTATTTTTACTTGGATATCAATGAAACTGTTTATTACACACCTTCTACTTTTGAAGTTGAGTACATGTCCTCAAACTCATATGTTTGTCATGCAATTTGACGTTAAATTTATTAGAAGAGTTCAGTTCCCCTTAAAAAGAATTAACTCAAATTCACATTGTAGCAAACCAACAATGACACCAATTAAGAATCTAACTTTTAATGATAGAAACAAGCCTATTGAAACACTTTATGAATACATCTAAGAATTTATCACAAGTAATCATATTCAAGTGGATAAATTTATCACAAGGAATGAGATTCAAGTGGAGAACTTAAATTATAAAGACCAATGTATCGATATTTTCATCAAGCCACTCAAATATAAAGATTTCTTAGAGTGCGGAGTTTTTTTATTATAAAATCAAGTTTAAGGGATGTCGGAATTAAACTTTATAGTAGTCTATAATTGTTTGGGTTTTTGTCTAAAAAAGATTGTATGATCTAGAATAATCCTACAATAGGATTGATTAGAGATATTCTAGATACATGCAATTGATAATTTATATAATAAAAGATAAAAGAGAATTCTATAGAGTCAATTGAAGTCACATAATCATAATGAGCTGGCATAATTCTAACTGGTTTAAGTTTGCTTTAAGTAAAAATGAGAAATAAAAAGTATCATCCTCCATTATATATATATATATTTTTTTTTGGATTTTATATTTTCTTAAATATTTTATTATTCCAATACAATGCATTTTCTCAAATTTTATCTAGTTGAAATTACTTCAAGTACAAAAATGTCTTAGTTGACCATGGCACCCTCAAATTTGACCATGCTCCATCCTTAGCTTGTCATTGGATGCACTTAATCAATTGTGAGAGCCATAAATTTTGTCCCATTGCATATACCATAGATGCCTTTCTGTTATGTTGGAGCTCGGTTCAGACCCCCTCCTGGTCCCTCTCTTCCAATCGCGAAAGGTCACAATCTCTCGTTCGTGATCCTGCCTCCACCCACTCCCGCAAAACAAAGCGTCCAGTCGCAAACTGTAGGCGCGGTCCGCTCCCGCCTTCCTCTTTTGTGAAGGGAAGCATCACTTCGCTCCCTTCTTTTCGAGATAAAAGATATCACATGGCTCTCCTTCAGAAGCAAAGTCACGATTTTTAGTTCTTCTTCGGGCTTTCTAGGGATAGAGGAAGAATTCTTCAGGATTCCTCGAGATAGAGGAAGAGAAATGCAATGTGTAGTTCCTTGCGGTGAAAGAAGAAGAAAGAAAAAGATTGTTCTCCATTGGTTTGTTCTTGTTGACTTGTGGCAGAAGAGAAATTGAGTTTATTTCTCTTGTTTAAGAAATTGAGTTTATTTCTCTTGTAAGTTTGTCTTCTTCAGTGTATTTTGTTGTAGAGTTTCTTCGGTGTATCTCAGTGTAGAGAGAGAATAAGAGAGAGAAATGAAGTGAGAAATTCCTCAAGGTGATCGACTGGTGTAAATTCTCCAAGTAGTAAAATGCTCTGCAATTCTGTGGACGCAGGCAATTTGTCGAACCATGTAAATCTGTGTGTTCTTTTCTAGTGTGATTTTTCTCGTTCTATTTCTCGTTTCGTCTATCGTTCTCCTGTTTGATTTATATATATACCACATCAAGTGGTATATATTGTATAGTTTGCAACAACTAGTATCAGAGTTTTGTTCTGATATGAGGAAGAACGATGACTGTAGATGAAGTGAATGTTTCAGATATTGAGAAAGTTAATGGCACAGATTTTAGTTATTGGAGGATGCGAATAGAGGATTACCTCTATGGGAAGAAACTTCATCTTCTGTTATTGGGGAAAGTTATTGACTTCATCTTCTGTTATTGGGGAAAAGACCTGAAAGGATGGATGAGGTTGAATGGAATTTGTTGTTTCTACAAGTTCTGGGGTTATTCGATTGACCCTATCGAGGTCCGTTGCACACAATGTCGTCAAGGAGAGGATGACTGCAGATCTCATGGCAGTCTTATCCGGTATGTATGAAAAGCCATCGGTGAATAACAAGGTGTACTTGATGAATAAGTTATTTAAATTGAAGATGAGAGAATGTTTTTTTGTTGCTCAACACCTTAATGATTTCAATACTATCACAAATCAATTGTCATATGCTGAAATTGAGTTTGATAATGAGATATGTGCGTTGATATTGTTGGCATCGTTGTTAAATAGTTGAGAAGCCATGAGGATGACAGTTAGCAGTTACGCAGGTAAATTTAAATTGAAATGTGATGATATTCGTGATTTGATTTTAGCTAAGGAGATACGAAGAAAAGTTTCTAGCGAGATCTCAGGTACGAGTTCGACACTGAATGTTGATTTCAGAGGGAGATGGTTTGACAGGACAGGAATGACAGGAACTCAAATAGAGAGAGATCAAAATCAAAGTATGGTCAGCAGACAACCTGTTGGAATTAGGGAAAGGTTGGTCGCATAAAAAGGAACAACAAGAATCCCAAAAAGATGGAGAATGATAGCGCAAATGTGGTATCTGAAGAAGTACAAGATGCACTATTGTTGGTAATTCATAGTTATGTTGATGATGGAAGTGAAGAAGAGAGTGGGTCCAGGGCACCTATTCCTATTGTTCCACAGACATATGGTGGAGAATCACTGAGCTATGAAGAAATCTTGCAAGATGAAAGTTCGAGCAAGTGGGAGCTGACAGAACTTCCACTAGGGAAGAAGACATTACATAACAAGTAGGTGTACCAGGTGAAGACTGAGCGTGATGACAGTAAGAGGTACAAGTCTAGACTTATTGAAAAAAGCTTTCAGCAGAGACAAGATATTGCTCATGCAGTCTTCTGGAGTGAAGACAGAGGTTTTGAGTTGCAAAGGTGGAGAATTCATGTAGGATTCATAATGGAGGATTCATAGTGGAGGATTCATGTTTGAAGAAAAGGGCGACACCGCTAGTGGAGGATATCAGTTTGAGGAAGAAGACATCGTAGCAAATGCATGGGTATCCAAGTGGGAGATTTGTTATGCTAGAGTCTAGTTCGGACCACCTCCCGCTCCCGCTCTTTTGATCGCGAAAGGTCACGATCTCTCGTTCGCGATCCCGCCTCCGCCCAGTTCCGCTAGCGAAGCGAAGCGTCCAGTCGCGAACCGTAGGCGCCAACTGCTCCCACCTTTCTCTTTTGTGAAGTGAAGCATCTCTTCGCTCCCTCCTATTCGTGATAAAAAATATCGCACGACTCTCCTTCAGATTAAGCAAAGTCACGATTTTGAGTTCTTCTTCGGCCTTTCTTGGGATAGAGGAAGAGTTTTTTGGGTTTCCTTAGGATAAAGGAAGAGAAGTGTAAAGTGTAGTTCATTGATGTGAAAGAAGAAGAAAGAAGAAGAAAAATATTATTCTTCTTTGGTTTCTTCTTAGTGACTTGTGGCAGAAGAGAAATTGGGTTTATTTTCTTGTAAGTTTGTTTTCAGTGTATCTTGATATAGAGTTTTTTTGGTGTATCTCAGTGTAGAGAGAGAAGAATAAAGAGAGAATAAGATAGAGCAACGAAGTGAGAGATTCCTCTTGTAAGTCTAGGTGATCGACTGAGGTAAATTCTTCAAGTAGTAAAATCCTCTGCAACTTCGTGGATGTAGGCAATTTGCTGAACCACGTAAATCTGTGTATTCTTTTCTGGTGTGATTTTTCTCGTTCTATTACTTGGTTCATCGAGCGTTCTCCTGTTTGATTTATATATATACTACATCAACTAGTGTATATCTCGCAACACCTTTCGTCAACTCACAAACTTATATTTAATTTTCATGAGTTACATTATGTTTGCAGTAATAAATAGTTGCATGCAGCATAAGCGAGATTTCGAAGTTGCAAAGGCTTTATTTTGTTTTTTATTTTGTGTAGCTTTCATACGCAAAACTTTCATTTGCATAGAAAAATTATCAATTGGAATAATATCTCATGAAATAGATCGTATAATTGTATTCAAATCATCAAAATAGTTCTACTGGACTCATCAGCTACAAATCAAATATCTTTTGACAGTTCACCAGCTAAACTGTTCTTTTTATATTAAAAAAGGACAATTTCGCTGAATTAGTTATTTAGAGTTATGAAAAATATATTTAATGATGAATTTTATTCTTTTTTGCTTTCAAAACTAAAATTATTTCAAAACTAAAATTATTAAATTTGGGACAAAGATTGAGCTTAAATCATAACTCTTACTTATAACTTGAGATCCTAGTCAAATAAACTTATGTTAAGATCCAATTCATTTATACTATAAGCGTTGCCTAGGTTAGTTAATTAAGCTTCCTAAGGATCTCGTGGAATTAGCTCAATTTAAAAGTCGACTGGATTGAATGTGTCGGGCAAGCACAATAAACACAAATTGTCATTTTTACACACCGACACACCAAAATTCTTTTGCACAAAAAATCAAACAATTCTCATTCAAACCTTAAGAGCAAAAGTTACAAGAAAATCAATCAAATAAAACAAGGTATAAAAGCACAACTTTATTCAAAGCAAATAAAAAATAAAAAATTTCATCAAGGACGCAAGGACATATTTAGAGAATCGTCCAAGAATTCTCAGAATACCTTGATGGAATGAGAAAACTTTATGTTCAAATCTGCAGCCCTACATGAATGATCAGACGGGAAGCGATGCCTGATACAGACCTTGAGATTACAAACCTTGCATGTGCTGCTATTGGACAATGTGAGGACCTCCCTGCACCTCAGCACAGGATAACGAGGCTTCTTCTTTTTTGATGGGTCGCAAGTTCCGGATTTTTTGTGGTGAGAGAGGATGTCTTCGTCTTCCTCATCAGCCTGCTTTTCTATGGAGGCTGAACATAATTCACAGACGGCGACAATTCTGCTGTTGTGATCGGCTTTTGAGCAGACGTGAGATCTATAAGTTCTATCTATAAGTTCTGTGCGTGCTCCAGGCAAAACAACTGCAACAAAATCGAGTTGGTTGCAGTCGTGGTATTGGCAGTGCTCACCGAGATCCGGAAAAGCTTCTGTACCTCCGCCCATCATCTTCTATTTCTTCAATTTCGAGCCCGCTCTTTCTTTTTCTGATCTCTCTTTCTCTCTCTCTTTGGATGGATGAGATCTGATATTTATAGGAAGGCATTTTGCTCTTTCTTTATTCTTGCACGGCAGGAAGATGCGCCCAAGGCGTGAGGACTTAATGCGACTCGGTTTTTTCATTTCAAAGCGGCAAGAAATAAATAAATAAATGATGAGGAGCTTCGAATGAGCTGAAAACTTAACCTGATATTCATTCAGATTATATCAAATAATTAAATTTTTATATTTTTGTAAAGGACATTTACAATTTTGAACATTACAGAAAAATTAATAATATTAATATATATATATATATATATATATATATATATTCGACCTTTCAGCAGGCCCCTCTCCCATCCTAGTCATTTCTATTTTCTGTAAGGGAGTTGCTAACTTGACTATCGTTGTGTAATCATTTCTCCGAGTAAACCCACTTTTTGGATGTTATGATCTAGAGGAGAGAGGAATCATAACACAAGGATATATCATGACGAAGACAAAAGAGAAATTTTATATGGAGCGCTTTCATGAAGTGAACTTTGCGTAGATGACTTCTGCAACGTACGTCCTATTGAAAGTCGGATTGGAACACCTTGAAAACGTGTCCACAAAGAGGAGCTTATGAAAGCAATTAACAACCAAAGATTCAAATTTTGTGTCTATTATGACAGTTCCTTCTTCTTATAAGGGAAGTTTCTATGATTAATTACTTCTTAAAGAACCGAAACAACTTAAGAAAACTCTTAATTAAGACTTCAATCTGGTCCTCAGGAGGTTGGGCTTGTCGTGCTCACGGACGGGTTTTAATATCTTGCTATGTTTCTTTATTATGACTTACGTTGCATAACAACGATCATGCAGGAGCCTAAAAGTGAGGATTTAACTCGTAGTTAGACAGGAGAAACTCGGGATGAAGTTCACCGAGGTGAAACTTCGGGACCCTATCCTATTTGGACTTTACTTATGATTGATTTAATTTAATTCTGTGGATGAAGTGGATTTGGGAAGTAGATTTGGACTTGTATTTAATGGACTTAGACTTTAACTTTGTCACGATGATTTTAAAATTGAAATTGATTTTGATTCTCTTAAATTTTGGGGTTTTTTATTTCAATTTTAATGATAAGGCATGTGTGAGTATGGTATTAGTAATTGTGATGTGTGTGAGTGTAAATGTGCATATGGTAAATGTGAATTGTAGAGGTGGTGATGAGTTTGTGCATATGTAGTGCTTCAAGGAGATGGACTCCTAGGTCACAAGGGTCTCCCGAGGGCATCACCTAACTCTATGGTGAGCTCATTTTGAGTCTCAATGTGCCGGCCCCTAACCAACTCAACCAAGTGTTGAGGATTTAAGACCTCACCCATGAGATTGCAAAAGAGTTGAGAAGTAGTTGGAATACCTAATTGGGGTGGGTCCCACCACCAGTCTTCTAGGAAAGTCTATATGGAAGTCTTATGGCTAGATCCTAAGCTCTAGAGGAGGAGATAGATCTCACCAAAATGTGGTCAAATTACTCCCGTGGTGAGAGCGTTGAACCAATGGAAGGTCGACCTCTCAGCACGGTGAGGAATAAACAGTATCTGAATGCATAGTTAATCTTTATAATGTTGATGGCCGACTCGAAAGCAGCCACTTAGTCCACAGGTGTGATCTTTGTATGAATCGAGGTTGGGGGTGTTAAATTGTTTGAGTGGTTCAACCTCAGAGATTTGTCGAAAAAAGGTTTTCACCGCTTGGCGGAGGCTTGTGGTTTGCGTGGTAGGATGTCTCTCTACCCGGGCTGATCCAGCATTATATTGGTAATAGAGTCTTCACCACGACTTCCGCTGGTTGGGATCATCGATCGTTGGTTGTCGGTTTGTCTCGTCTGGTTATGGGCTCTACTACTCGTTGTGATTTGGCTTTATGGGTTCTGACCTCTCTTAGCAAGAGCTTCTTGGAAGGCACCCACCATTTGTTTTCTGATTTACATCATCAATTGTTCTTTCATCTTCATTACTTGTTGTTAGATTAAGGGGACAACTTGACTGAGCATCCATGAAGATCTCCTAAATCGTTTGTCTCAAACATCCTTCTTGACTATCCATCAAGATTGTTGCCTCTATAATCTAGTCATACAATATATATATATATATATATATATATATGTATATATAACAGAGGACTGAGTCAAATGTATGTAAATATTTATATATAGTATGCAGCATTTAAGTTTGATTTCTTATTCCTTTTATTTTTTGTGATTGTTCCGACAATAAATGTGGTTGCTCTTCACCTTTAGTATCACATTTTTGCTTAAATTAAACAACAAAATATGACAACTGTATTTTTTAATTCGGTTGTTGTAGCTCTAGTTATATAAAACTCATCCATGGAGAGTGGAGTTGGGTGCAACAATAATTAGATGATACATTAGTACTCTCACACAGTCCTACTCACACACCATGGCAATAGTTTTCCTCCCCTCCTACCCCGCAGCAGATGCACCCTTTGAATTCCTCCCTTTGTCATTCTCACAGTACGTGAATACTTTCTTCTCTTCTCTTAATTTCTACATTCTTACTCTAATTTTCTATTTCTTGCTAATTTCTGCGAGTAACTTACCATTCAGGGTACGAAGTTCGTCCTCGCTTGCGCTCATGACCAGCAAGAATGGCTCCTTTAGACCCTGATGCTTTGTTGTTAGTAACGATGCAATAATTCAACACCTGCTAATTCATAATTTTCAGAAAAAAATTACATACATACCACATAATTTTTATACTTCTATGTTTAAATTTTGATATTTTTATCTAAACTAATTTTGGTGTAAAAAATAAATGCATGAAAAGTTACATTTTAATTTTTTTAAAAAATAATTTGACATTAATTGTGATATTTTTATATGCCGTTAAAATAACATGAAATTATATATTTTAATTTTAAGTGTAAGTAATAGTGATATTTTTTGTCAGAGTATTATAAATATAAATTTGAGATTTTAGGTGTTAGATATATAAATACATAAGAAATGTATGGCATATTTATAATTGCCCTTTCAAAAACTTATTAATAATAGCGTAAAATTTTTGTTGCGATGAAAAGGATTTGAGTTGAGTGTTCATATCAAAATATGTATATAAATGCCCCTTCAAATTTGGGTCATTTACATTCATACCATCATGCCACCTAATGGCTATGAATTTACATATCTAACACCTAACTTTATCTTTTTAAGTTTATGCAACCAAAATATTTCATATCAATTTAAAAAACACTACCAGTTTAATTTTTAAAAGGTCAAAAACACTTTTCATGCATATTTAAAGTGGTATGTATGTAAAAATTGAAGTTTGGGTTTTAGACATGTAAAAACATAAGAATTGAGTAGTTTATATATATGGATATCTCCAAATTTACATATTAGATCCACAAGTAAATACATAAAGTTTATGCGATATATTAATCTTTAAGCATAAGAATGGAGAGCGGATTATCACAACAATGCATATCTGATTTTTTGGTCAAACATTTGCGCAATTTGTTAGGTATATATTAAATTATTTTAATATTTTATTTACTTACAATATAATTATCAAAAGATAATATTTATTTATTTATTATTTAAATTTTTAATTAAAGGATGAGATCAATAAGGAGGAGGAGACTCCGACACCGGGCTGCAGACATATTTTTCATGCAAATTACATAAGAAGTTGGCTGATGATTAAGAATCAATGTGTTAATTGAAGAGC